GATTAGCCACCAGATTCAGCTGTATTATGGGTCTACTTTCAGAGAATTAATAATTTTGCGTTGAGTTATGGAGTCAAATATGGGATTGCTGCAGGCTTAGTTGCTGTGACGTCAGGGGTCTGATGTGTCTTCATATTACTCGTACAGCAAGAGTTCAGTCACTATGGCATGGACGGCACGCGTTCTATTACCGGCAGTTACAGCAATATTTCTTAGCCTATGCCATCATATCGAGATGGCGCTTTATCCGAATGACAACTCAATCTCTTTGTGCAGGGTAAAGCTGTCGAAGCATGAAACAGACTAATAACGTTCAGCTAGTTGCGAGGTTAAGAATCATTGGAGCTGTACCTTAATTCCCCTGCTCCACTGTGCTTACCCAGGGCTTCAACCAAGTTTATTTTTTTAATTCGCTTAGTGGGGGGTGGAGTCCAGCTAGGTCCACTCGGCACGGAGGCCGCTGATTGGCATATTGTAGCCTGCTCCGGGTGATTATGATGATGGAGAATTTGATGGAATGAAGATTGGCAGGGGAAACAGAAGTACTCGGAGAAAACCCACCCCAGCGCCACTTTGTCCACCATAAGACTCGGGATCGAACCCGGGCCACCGCGGTGGGAAGCCAGCGACTAACCGCTTGAGCTATGGCGCGGCCCTTCAATCAAGAAAATAAATAAGATCTAAAAGTCTTTGACGATTGTACATTTGTACAAATATCTCTGTGTGTTATACACCATCGTCAGAATCCTATAGTAACTACTTACAAATATTATGTTTCTGGATATTGTCCATCGTCTTGTTTTTACTTTAAAACACCGTTCTGTTTCTTTCCCAAAACACAGCGTTTCGGAGACTTGATTCTGCTCCCGTCTTCAGGTAAACCTACTCACTCGGGCCAAATCTGTAGAGCTGGTCGCTATCTCCGGACACCTGTACAAGCCTCAAGATGGGGTACATAAGCTAAACACAGCACAACCCGCCTGCGAGAGCTAAGAAAATATTTACAGGATGGTTTTTAGGTAAAGACAAGACGATGGATAATGTCCAAAATCATAATAATTGTTCCCAGAAAAATAGATTACCACGGGACGAACTGTAAGTTGGAACTACTCCATGCATTACAAAAGGCCCATAATTTTTAAAATTTCCAAATATAGAAGGTTAATACTTAGTTGCTTACTCATGGAGAAGAACCCTTCTAGAGGAGCTACCAATTCTGCAGCTACTCAAGAATTTCCTAGCATTTTACGGAACCCGGAGGTTCATTACCGTGTTCACAAGAGCCCTCCACTGGTCCCTATTCTGAGCCAGATCAATCCAATCCATACCATCCCGACTTATCTCTCTAAGATCCATTTTGAATATTGTTCACCCACCTCCGCCTTGGTCTTCCCAGTGGTGTCTTTCCTTCTGGCTTTCCCACCAATATCTTATACGCATTCCTCGTCTCTCTCATTCGTGCTACATGACCTGCCCACCTCATCTTCCTTGACTTGATCATTCTAATTATACTTGGAGAAGAGTACAAGTTATGAAGCTCCTCATTGTGGAGTTTTCTCCATCCTCCTGTCACTTAATCTCTCTTAGGTCCAAATATTCTCCTCAACACCTTCAGAGACCAAGTTTCACATCTATACAGAACCAAAGTCAAAATGATAGTTTTGTACGTTCTATTTTTTATGTTTTTGGACAGCAGACGAGAAGACAAAAGCATTACTCAAGTTCAGTCTCCTCTTAATTTCCTCCTGAATCAGGTTTAGATCTGTTATCGTCATTCCCAAATATCTGAACTGTGCCACATTTTCAAAACATCTGTTTCCTATCTTAATGTCATGATTTTGTCCTGCTTTCTGGTTACGAGACAGCAACATATACTTAGTAGAAAATAATTATGTTACGAAAATGAACACAAAGCCTCGGACCTGGACGGATTCCTTAGATAAACGACCTAAGCTAAAGAATAGAAGTTTCATGTCACCCAATATTAATATTTTGACATGCATTGGAAGTGACCCATGTTATGGGGTATAACTTGTCGTTGTCCGTTAAAAGCCAACCGGTATTTCGAAGGAACATGTCTCCTTCATTGTCTCCATATTCAGGGTTGAAAAACAAACCAAGCAAGAAACAGCCATGACGCAAGTAGCAAACACAACACGCTGGTTTCTTATTTGCTTTATTCTTTGACCCTGAAGATGGAAATGATATGTTCCTCCGAAACATCTTTTGCCTTTCAGCGGTCTACACTGCGTTATTTCCCAGAAAATAGAAATCTTCATAACGATCACTCTCAAAACTTCAAGCCCTGCTGTCACTACAATTTCAGGAAAATGGAAAGGGGATTTATGGGCATCCTGTGTAGTGTACGGGGGGATATCCCCCAGTAACCTCTCTAGGGGCGCCTGAGTGGGCCCCAAATACTTTCTGTAGTCGTTGACTTTATTTATGACTTACATCGTAAGTGTCGGCAGGCGTCTTTATCGAGTGCTAAGATAACTGGTGAACACTAACCTGGAAAATTTGTGCAAGTGTCTGTGCTATGTTTTGGGAATTTACCTGTAGAGACTGAGGAAAACAATGAGTATTCTCAGGACGATCCATCATTTCGGGTGATATTTGAATCTGTCACCTCACTCATACTTGGGCGAGACAACCGCTTCCTTTCAGGTCCTTTCCAATTCATCAGTCCCCTAACAATTCTATATTATACAGGGTGTTTCACGACTTTAGGGCATAACTGCAGGAGGTGATTTCCTAGGACTTTGTGATCAAAAAAGTTCATATAAACATGTGTCCGATTTTGGACGGTTACGGAGTTATAACCGTTTTTTCATTCCCGTACACGCCCTCGTGTGAACTGAGTCTATCATCTGGCGGGTCACTATTTTTAGCCAGCTAGAGACAGAGCATTCTTGTTATGTCGACACTTGAGAGCTACCTAAGGCGGGGTGGGTTGGTATGTCCGGCGCGGTTCACAACCGACCGGCAGCCTGTGTTGCGGCCGGCGGTGACATTTTCGAAAATCAGCTTTAAGCACCAATCAATTCAAATTAAAAGTAATTTCACGAAGTTAACTTTACATTCATACTTTAAATGTATCATGTATTATGCTGGTTTATTATTTTGTTCCGTTTACTGTCAGTAATCGTTACCTTCAATTCTGAGTTTAAAACGGTCATAACTCCGTAACCGTCCAAAATCGGACACATGTTTATATGAACTTTTTTTATCACAAAGACCTAGAAAATCGCCTCCTGCAGTTATTCCCTAAAGTCGTGAAACACTCTGTATATAATCTTTGCAAACAGCATCGCTAAATAGCCCTCACTTCTAAAAACACCCGCACCGGGTTTCGGATTCCTGGCGCTGCAGTCGAGTTACTCCTTGTCCGCGGCACTTTCCGTCTTGAGACGTCCGACTGCTTCCACCAGGAGACGTAGCGTGCTGGTATGGCTGTTATTCGCCGGGCTTATTAAATGTACTGGAGCTATTTGGCCCGTGGCTCGCGTGTAGCATCTGTAATTGCACTCTGGCGGCGGTAGTGGCAATGGATACATTGAGGAAGGCATTTTTGTTGTAACAAGTCTATATACATATCGTACATACACACACGCACAGCAACCCACACCGCCCGTCTGTACCTGTCAGAAGGTTGAAGGGGAGTAACCTGCTAGGACAAAAGGGGCTCAAGGCATATCGTGTGTCGAAATCTGTTGTTACCAACTATCAAAGCTGCGCCATAGCTCAAGCGGTTAGTCGCTGGCTCTTCACCGCGGCGGCCCGGGTTCGATCCAGGGTCTGGTGAAGTGGGATTTGTGGTGGACAAAGTGGAGCTGGGACGGGTTTTCTCTGAGTACTTCGGTTTCCCCTGCCAATCTTCACTCCACCAATTGCTCCACAATCACCCTCACCTATCATCTGAGGCTGGTACAATAGGCCAGAAGTGGCCGCAGTACAAGGGACTTAGTCCCATCCCACTAGCAATTAAAAAAAATAAATTACCGGCTATCAAACCGAATTCATGCCTAGTAAAATTTCTTAAGCCTTATCCCTAATGATATAGACCGGTTCGAATTTCGGACGAGGCACGTTATATTCATGTTTCACGATTGTTCCCAGTACCTCCAGACAAACGCCTGAATTGAACCTCAAATTAATTGACGAGTGTTTCCGTTCACGTCCATTCTATTCAACTGTACTAATTATGATACATTTCGACGTCCTGTAATGTGAGCTTCCCACAATGTCATTAATTAAACTGTAAATTAAATCAGTCGAATGAAAGTGAGGTACAAAAAGGTAAAGCTGTCACTCTATTTAATTAATTAAGCACCATGCCATGAAGACATAAGCAGGAGTGGAGGTATAGCTCCTCCATTTTTGATCTCGGCACTAGATGGAGGTGAGTGGTCATCTTCACGCCCCGGCCGCCTCTACGCAGGCATTGTCTAATCACCGTTTCATCCAACGCTATGAAATCTATGTCTCTCCTGTAAATTGCTACTGGTTTCGCCATCAAAGTCATCCTTGTTTCCAAGTCGAGTGGACTCGTGACCATATTTTACTTTCTCTGGACTCTCGATATTAAGAGCGTCATTAAATTGCAAGTTCGAGAAAAAAGGATATACACGAATAACGTAACAGTATGTAAGATTTGAGGTTTCCACGGCGGTGACAATGAAGAAAGCAGTCTTCTGGGATGTCGCGCTGTGTAGATGTGGTGTTAATCGACTTTTCGGATGAATGTATCGCGTCCATCTTCAGGGTAGAAGGAAAAAAGAAAATCCGCAAGCTCTACCCTGAAGATGGAGGCCTTACGTTCCTTCGAAACGTCGGTTAAGACCATATCTACCCGGTGCCACATCTCAGAAGACTGCTCTCTTCAACGTAACGATAGTCCTCCAGCTGAAGGCCTGAATTCTCTTACTGGAGTTCGGGAGATGGTCTCACCTTACAGGTTTCCCTCACTGAGGTCTTTGTGGTTTTCTTAATTCTTCCAGGAGAATCGAACTGTCCCGGAGGTTGAAACTCTCGTCTCCACCCCCTGAGATTCTAAGAACGTGATTTTTGATTGCTTCCTGCGATTCGTCGCCTGATAACCGCAACGTCTTCAAGTAAGTTACAAGCCACCTGCCCATACCTGAATATTGACATTGTTTCTTATAGTGAGAATATCTGCTGGAATTGATACAGTGTAATTATATAACTATACACAGAGTGTCTCATTATTAAATGCCATAATTTATACGATGGTTTTTGAATATCAGAGTAACTAAAATTTTATGATATATTCAACGACAGCGAAATAAGCATATATTTGTTTTTCCCTTGGCACTACAGCCCCAGTGGGCCTAGGCCTACCTCCTTGAACTTCTCTCTTCACTTCGGTTTTTCTAAATCTTACATATTCGGTAGGCGGGTGGTCAGCTCGTCGCAAGGCCTCTACCTGTACACAAACACAGAAAAACGAGCATACACAAACTAAACATCCATGCCCTGATTGGGATTCGAACCCACGATCCCGGTTTCCAAGCGAGCGAAGACAGTACATACCTTAGACCGTTCGGCTACCGTGACCGGCCAATAAACATATATACTACAGCCCATTCTAGGCAACGGGGTAAACAAGTTTCCGTGGCAACGGATACGCATGCAACAATAGAAGTACTGCTGGAAAAGGTGCTTTCTACTCGGTCCGTGCAAAAGGGTTATAAGGAGGACAATTGAAGCAAGAAGATTACTATTGCCCTGTGGAGGCGTGGTCGAATACCCTCACCGTAGCCCTCTGAGTCCTAGGAGGCGACAAAAAGGAACCTAGTGTCGGGGTTTTTAACTGGGCAACCCTGTTTCTGGGAGATATAGTTACACGGACCTGACCCTCTAGTTTAGGGAGGTCACCAATCTGAGACAGTAAAATGTGGTCATAATTCCTGCGGGTTTCGAACCTGAGAATGACTGAGCTGGAGAGGGCCAGCAGGGATTGTTTACTTAAGGACTATGAAGGCAAGTGTTCAGTTGGGAAAAAATTGCTGGTCGTACCAAGGGGCCTGGCGCCAAGACGAATTGATTAGTGGTAAACCGCCATTTGCAGAGTAACTCGGACTCAGAAGAATTGGTAGGGGGCGCCGTTCAGACAGGACTTGATCCCGGAAGCAGAGGAATAGCTATTGTTATGAGCCGTTACCAGGGAACGGCTAATGGAGATTGTAACAGAATGAGAACACTAAGCTGTGAGCACCAGCGATATTATTGTAGTTATTTGTATTACAGCGTTCCGTATATAATGCCTCCTATTTTTTTTAAGAAAACTACAACAGATACAGAAAGCATAATAATGTAGTTAAATAGAGCAAGATTTCAGCTACTTACAGTTATTTTTCCACATAATCACCACCATTCGTTATGCACTTTTACCAGCGATTAACAAGAGCCTGTATGCCGCGCCTGTAAAAGTCTGCGCCAGCAGAGACTAGCCACTTTCTTACAGCTGCAATGACAGCATCATTGTCTGGAAAGTGTTGCCCACGTAGTCCATCTTTCTTAGGCCCAAAGAGATGGAAGTCTGAAGGTGCTGAACCAGGGCTATAAGGTGGATGTGGTATGACAGTCCAGCCAAACTTTGCAATGTGCGCGGTGGTCGCCAAACTTGTATGGGGTCTAGCGTTGTCTGCTTCTTTGGCCTGACTCGGGAAATGCGGGCTTTCACCTTAGTCAGCGTCGTTTTGTAGCGTTCAGAATTGAGAGTCCCTGGTCGTTATCTGCTGATTTGTTCGGATGAGGCGCTGTTCATTGTGAGGAGTGGCAGCTGAGCAGGGACGCCCAGGGCGTGGCTTGTCGTGCACTTCACTTTCTCCACCGTTGAAACGCACTACCCACCGCCTCACTGTGCTGACATCCACTGCATTGTCTCCGTACACCTTTAGCAAGTGTCGGTGGATGTCAGTGGGTACAATTTGTTCGGCAGTGAGAAATTCAATAACACATCTGTGTTTCGTACGTACTTCTATGTCAGACGCCATTTTGGTAGACTGCTCTGCTATCGCTATCTGTCGCACGACAACCAAACTAACAGTACATTGGAGGGAAGGTTCAACCTTTACTACAACACCACCAACATCCAGCTCAGACGTTACATATTAACACAAAAAGTAGGAGGCATTATTTACGGAACGCCCCTAGTAGTTACGACCTGTAAGTGGTCAACAAATCCAATTATCCAAAACCCCGTCTATAGCCACTCGATGAACGTGACAATACGAATGCGTGCCCTTAGGGCCTTCCTTCAAAATGCTGAACTGTAAGGAAACATCAGCTTCTGTCGTAATATTCTGTAAAAGGCATCCGAGATAATACTGTCACGTGTTCAGCTGCGTAACCAATAATAGCGGGATCTGGATTTGATGATTATGTATATTAACATTTTATAGTCTCTTAATCACTGACTTAATCTGACTATGGCAGCTGAAATCAAAATAACTCCACTATTCTAAAGAAGGCCCTCATAGTACACATTTATATAAACTTTTTGTTTCTATAGATATCCATAGCCGATATCAGTGACCGCTCTGTCTACGACATGAAATGACATCGCTCGCTTGAAAACTGGAGTCGTGTTTTCGAATCCCACCAAGGCATAGATGTTTGTCTGTGTTTATTCTGCTTGTGTTGTTTTATGTGCAGGTAGCGGCCTTGCGTCGGGCTGATCTCCCGTCCAAGGTGTCCTATCGACTAAGATTATGAAACTGAAATGAAATGAAGCGTTTCACGATGTCCCATATTCCATATGGGGGCAACACGAATAGATAGGCAGACAGACAGACAGATAGATTATATAGATTACGTTACTATAAGTGAAAGCAGACTGAGAAGACTTAGCTCGTAGTGATTTGTAGTGTGGAAATCAATAATACTGGTATAGTTATTTGTAGTTACGACCTGTAAATGCTCAATAAATCTATTCACCAATCAAAACCCCGTCTATGGGCACTAACACACTATAGCGCAATCCTTTATGAATAATAGTATAATTGCGCTATCACTGAAACTATTCTGCACTTTAAGCTCTGTAGGTTTCTGGTTCCAGGCCGGTTTGTTCGTGTTGCAGCCGTTGTAAGCTGAGCTATGTGTGTACTCTTGCTAACAGCGGGAGCACCATTATAATGTAAAGAGGCGATTATATTCCAGCTGCGTTTGCTTCATCTCATTCTGCCCTAACATTTATGTAACGAGTTTGATACTATAATCGCCGCAACATTTTCAACGTTCTTTCTAGAGATTTATGTTAATTTTGTTGTAATCCAGTTAACGTAAATTCTTGTCGAAATTGCTCTAGGCCTGTTGTAGAGCTTCCTAGTGTTGCCATATTCCACAACCGGAATAACAAAAAGTTTGGATCGAATATTGTAACGTACCAACCAAGGCAACCGTCCTTGGATATTCAGAGAACAGGGATGGCAGGTTCGAATTCCACTCAGGGTGTTTTATGTTTTCCTGGATTCAGTATGCATACATGGAATAAGGTAAACTCTTAAATTATGGAAGGAGGATAAAATCGTGTTGAAATGCCAAGCAGACGGAAAATAAGAATTGTTAATGGTAGCAGTTTTGGTTATAGTGGTAGTAAAATTCTTGCTTTTCAATAAGTTGCTTCAACTTAGTATAGAAAAGGCATATATTTTATATTCAGATATTTAAATGCCCTCTCTTTAACGTTATAAAAACATTACTCCTAAGCTTGTATAGGAGGAACAGCAAACAGAAAAAATGTATGAAATTTTACTTCACCTGAAAATTAATTTTAGCATCACTGAAGAATAGAGTGGATGCAAAGAACAATATAAACCTTGTAGATTCGTTAAGCTTTTCTTCTGAATACTGATAATTCTGCGACATAATAAATATTGTCACTCGTTCGAGTGACTATATAAGGGGTTTGGATTGGTAATTATGTTTATTGCACTCTTACAGATCGGCGACTAAAAGTAATTATAACCATAATACTAATTCACACACTATGCAGTACACTGTTACATCCGCACTAGTGTCCACAATCACGTTTTCACTACCGTTATTTGGTGGCGGCTTCCAATGGCGGACTTTCCCCTTCCTCTGGATTCCCAAACTGTCTGCGACCTCAGCTTTTCACAGAAACAGCTCACAACAATTGAACCTCAGAAGTCATCTAACTAACTCACGCACTGACAGACTTCTAACTTGATGCTGGTCCTCGCCAGCTAAGTGAATCTTAGTTAGGAGTCCCATGGGACTCATGACTTCATTTTACTCCTTAATAGCTCTGTGAGCCTTCAGATTTCTTCACTGACTGAGTCTGAGTTACTTTACGAATGGCAGTTTACCACAAATCAGTTCATCTTTGTTCCAAGCCCCTCTAGGGCCACGACAAGAGTTCTTTGCAACTGAACGCTTGCTGCCATAGCTCTTACGTGACACTGTCCCTGACGAGAGGATGGGTTTGCCTCATATGAATACGTTTGGTCTTTCGTCAAGTGTACGTGTCGCATATATAGCGCATTGTTGAAAATTCTTCCTTTTGAACTCTATACAAGCCATTTGTGAGTCCAGGCTTTGCAAAGCAGATCATACCTATCTAAAATACTCTATGCTACAACGGCAGCTAGCCACTTGAACGGTCGTAGGCTTGGCCACCGCCAAGTTTAAATTTCTTATGTTTTCTGTATCTGGCATCGCTTTGTTCTATACCACGAACATGTTCATTATCATGATTTTGTGTGAATTTTGTGTGTTGCCTGTACAATTTTGTTCTACATATAGTCATATACATATNAGTTGAAAATTCTTCCTTTTGAACTCTATACAAGCCATTTGTGAGTCCAGGCTTTGCAAAGCAGATCATACCTATCTAAAATACTCTATGCTACAACGGCAGCTAGCCACTTGAACGGTCGTAGGCTTGGCCACCGCCAAGTTTAAGTCTCTTATGTTTTCTCTATCTGGCTTCGCTTTGTTCATGTTCATTCTCATGATTTTGTATGAATTCTGTGTGTTGCTTGTACAATTTTGTTTTACGTATAGTCATATACATACGGAAGGTTGAAAGCCATGTACAAATCGCATAATCTCACTGGCCTTGCTT